GAAAAAAAAAGTAAAAAAAATATCTTTGATTAAAAGTTCATATAAAGAAAGATTATATAGATTTTGAGGATCGTTTGGTTTTTTTGCAAATTATGTAACTTAAACTAAGTTTTAGCAAAAGAAGAAAAGGTAGATTTGAACAATTTTTGGTCTGAAACTAACTCTGCTTATTTAGCTTCAATATATAATATGAACTTAAATAGAACTAAACAGAACTAGAATAGAACTAGAATATAACTAGAACAGAGCTAGAACAGAAATAGAACAGAACTAGAACAGAAATAGAACAGAACTAAAACAGAACTAGAACAGAACTAGAACAGAACTAGAACAGAACTAGAACAGAACTAGAACAGAACTAGAACAGAACTAGAACAGAACTAGAACAGAACTAGAACAGAACTAGAACAGAACTAGAACAGAACTAGAACAGAACTAGAACAGAACTAGAACAGAACTAGAACAGAACTAGAACAGAACTAGAACTAGACAGAACTAGAACTGAACTAGAACTGAACTAGAACTGAACTAGAACTGAACTAGAACTGAATTAGAACTGAATTAGAACTGAATTAGAACTGAACTAGAACTGAACTAGAACTGAACTAGAAATGAACTAGAACAGAACTAGAACAGAACTAGAACAGAACTAGAACAGAACTAGAACAGAACTAGAACAGAACTAGAACAGAACTAGAACAGAACTAGAACAGAACTAGAACAGAACTATAACAGAACTAGAACAGAACTAGAACAGACCTAGAACAGAACTAGAACAGAACTAGAACAGAACTAGAACAGAACTAGAACTGAACTAGAACTGAACTAGAACTGAACTAGAACTGAACTAGAACTGAATTAGAACTGAATTAGAACTGAATTAGAACTGAATTAGAACTGAACTAGAACTGAACTAGAAATGAACTAGAACTGAACTAGAACAGAACTAGAACAGAACTAGAACAGACCTAGAACAGAACTAGAACAGAACTAGAACAGAACTAGAACAGAACTAGAACTGAACTAGAACTGAACTAGAACTGAACTAGAACTGAACTAGAACTGAATTAGAACTGAATTAGAACTGAATTAGAACTGAACTAGAACTGAACTAGAAATGAACTAGAACTGAACTAGAACAGAACTAGAACTGAACTAGAACAGAACTAGAACAGAACTAGAACAGAACTAGAACTTATGAAAAGTTTTCTTTTAAACAATATTTTTTTCAAAATATAATATTAATACCATCATATTATAGACATTCTATTGTACATTAAACTAAGATCTTAATATATTATTTATTTAAGAAGATTTAAAACTAAAAATCTGCTGGCGTTCAGTTTGTATTTGCACCACTACACACTAATAAATAATGGAAATAAATGTCAGTAGATATTTTTGAAAAAAAAAAAATCTTATTTAATTCACTTGTCACTTTAATCTACAAAAGATATTTAGTTGTTGTTGTTGTTATTTTTCAATTCGTATGTAAGAGAACAACAGCACCAAAATCTTAATAAATATTTAGCGAAATTTTTATATCATAATATAGAGATATATACTTACATACATAGATACAAACATATACATACAACAATAAGATTTACTATATAAAACTACTATTTTCCAGATTTATTTATTTATTTACTTAAGTATTTGTTGTAGTTTAAACTCACCACACATTTTTATTACTCTAATGATTGAGGATCAGTATGTGACCGAACAACGAAGACGACGACTACTATGATCACGATGTAGATGATGATGATTTTTCTTAATACACAGTTATACATACATTCATTACATTTTCATCAGCTATTGTTGTGGTGCCTTTAATAATAATAACGGTATCCCATTGTATTCAAATTAAGTGGCAACTATATAATATTGGAGAGAAGCTTTAACAACAACAACAAAAACTTATAAATATTTCACAAATAATGATAAAAAATGGAAGAAAAAAAAAACGAATGAAAATTATTTGTGAAAAGAAAAATTTAAAGTGATAAAATCACAGTTTGAATTTGTTTTAGTATAGGTTCTATAATATATAAGTAAAATTACACACACACACATCACATAGATATGTGTATAAACTATAGATCGCTGTCTCCCAGATAGACGGGATATATCTAAATAAATCTTAAATTTTTACAAGTAAATTAAAGATATTTTTATACACACATTAAATATATAATTATGGGTTTTAATTTTGAGAACAAATGTTTGAGAATAACTTAAAGCTTAAACGTTTTTGACAAATGACCTTAACATTTAAATTATTGCTTTTAAAATTCTCTCAGCAAAACAATTGAGCAATATCATCTTGTGATCAAACATATTTTCCATTACATTTATAAAGACAAGTTTTGGATATAGTCAAAACTATAGTCTAGTCTATAATATAGCCTACAGTTTAGTATTTAGTCTTGTCTATAGTGTAGTCGATAGTCTAGTCTATAGTCTAGTCTATAGTCTAGTCTATAGTCTAGTCTATAGTCTGGTCTATAGTCTAGTCTATAGTCTAGTCTATAGTCTAGTCTATAGTCTAGTCTATAGTCTAGTCTATAGTCTAGTCTATAGTCTAGTCTATAGTCTAGTCTATAGTCTAGTCTATAGTCTAGTCTATAGTCTAGTCTATAGTCTAGTCTATAGTCTAGTCTATAGTCTAGTCTATAGTCTAGTCTATAGTCTAGTCTATAGTCTAGTCTATAGTCTAGTCTATAGTCTAGTCTATAGTCCTAGTCTATAGTCTAGTCTATAGTCTAGTCTATAGTCTAGTCTATAGTCTAGTCTATAGTCTAGTCTACAGTCTAGTCTATAGTCTAGTCTATAGTCTAGTCTATAGTCTAGTTTATAGTCTAGTCTATAGTCTAGTCTATAGTCTAGTCTATAGTCTAGGTCTATAGTCTAGTCTATAGTCTAGTCTATAGTCTAGTCTATAGTCTAGTCTATAGTCTAGTCTATAGTCTAGTCTATAGTCTAGTCTATAGTCTAGTCTATAGTCTAGTCTATAGTCTAGTCTATAGTCTAGTCTATAGTCTAGTCTATAGTCTAGTCTATAGTCTAGTCTATAGTCTAGTCTATAGTCTAGTCTATAGTCTAGTCTATAGTCTAGTCTATCTAGTCTAGTCTATAGTCTAGTCTATAGTCTAGTCTATAGTCTAGTCTATAGTCTAGTCTATAGTCTAGTCTATAGTCTAGTCTATAGTCTAGTCTATAGTCTAGTCTATAGTCTAGTCTATAGTCTAGTCTATAGTCTAGTCTATAGTCTAGTCTATAGTCTAGTCTATAGTCTAGTCTATAGTCTAGTCTATAGTCTAGTCTATAGTCTAGTCTATAGTCTGGTCTATAGTCTAGTCTATAGTCTAGTCTATAGTCTATAGTCTAGTCTATAGTCTAGTCTATAGTCTAGTCTATAGTCTAGTCTAGTCTATAGTCTCTAGTCTAGTCTATAGTCTAGTCTATAGTCTAGTCTATAGTCTAGTCTATAGTCTAGTCTATAGTCTAGTCTATAGTCTAGTCTATAGTCTAGTCTATAGTCTAGTCTATAGTCTAGTCTATAGTCTATAGTCTAGTCTATAGTCTAGTCTATAGTCTAGTCTATAGTCTAGTCTATAGTCTAGTCTATAGTCTAGTCTATAGTCTAGTCTATAGTCTAGTCTATAGTCTAGTCTATAGTCTAGTCTATAGTCTAGTCTATAGTCTAGTCTATAGTCTAGTCTATAGTCTAGTCTATAGTCTAGTCTATAGTCTAGTCTATAGTCTAGTCTATAGTCTAGTCTTAGTCTAGTCTATAGTCTAGTCTTTAGTCTAGTCTATAGTCTAGTCTATAGTCTAGTAGTATAGTCTAGTCTATAGTCTAGTCTATAGTCTAGTCTATAGTCTAGTCTATAGTCTAGTCTATAGTCTAGTCTATAGTCTAGTCTATAGTCTAGTCTATAGTCTAGTCTATAGTCTAGTCTATAGTCTAGTCTATAGTCTAGTCTATAGTCTAGTCTATAGTCTAGTCTATAGTCTAGTCTATAGTCTAGGTCTATAGTCTAGTCTATAGTCTAGTCTATAGTCTAGTCTATAGTCTAGTCTATAGTCTAGTCTATAGTCTAGTCTATAGTCTAGTCTATAGTCTAGTCTATAGTCTAGTCTATAGTCTAGTCTCTAGTCTAGTCTATAGTCTAGTCTATAGTCTAGTCTATAGTCTAGTCTATAGTCTAGTCTATAGTCTAGTCTATAGTCTAGTCTATAGTCTAGTCTATAGTCTAGTCTATAGTCTAGTCTATAGTCTAGGTCTATAGTCTAGTCTATACTCTAGTCTATAGTCTAGTCTATAGTCTAGTCTATAGTCTAGTCTATAGTCTAGTCTATAGTCTAGTCTATAGTCTAGTCTATAGTCTAGTCTATAGTCTAGTCTATAGTCTAGTCTATAGTCTAGTCTATAGTCTAGTCTATAGTCTAGTCTATAGTCTAGTCTATAGTCTAGTCTATAGTCTAGTCTATAGTCTATAGTCTAGTCTATAGTTTAATAGTCTATAGTTTAATAGTCTATAGTTTAATAGTCTATAGTTTAATAGTCTATAGTTTAATAGTCTATAGCTATAGTTTAATAGTCTATAGTTTAATAGTCTGTAGTTTAATAGTCTATAGTTTAATAGTCTATAGTTTAATAGTCTATAGTTTAATAGTCTATAGTTTAATAGTCTATAGTTTAATAGTCTATAGTTTAATAGTCTATAGTTTAATAGTTTATAGTTTAATAGTCTATAGTCTAGGCTATAGTCTAGTATATAGTCTAGTCTATAGTTTAATTTAGTCTTTTCTATAGTCTTGTCTATAGTCTTGTCCATAGTCTAGTCTATGTATGGTTTATTGCATATTCCGTTTCATTGAAATCCCTAACGAAAAAGTCAACCGCTGTAAATTTTTGTAGTGATATTGATTTTTTGGATCAACAGGTGTTCGTAAAATGAAATATCGAAAATGTCAATCAGAAAAGAAACCTCAAAACAAAATTTCAAAAACCTAGTAAATATTTTATATAGAATATTAATTTCCTATTCCAAATTCCTCAACAAAAATCTAAACAAATGGCTTTACGTTACATAAAATCTAAACCCTTTGAAGGTATAGCAAACATTTGACATTTCTAGACTTAATGAATGTTTCATACCTTTTCCCATAGTTCAACCTTTTATAAGAAGTGCCCATTTCGAAAATCAAACAAACTGTTCTTTACACGCCATAGATGAATATCCCGAATGGTTTACCGATAAACCGCCACGCTATGACTTTATATTTTATTGTTCGCTAATCACGATTTATCTATTTTTGGCCATAGCCATTGTCTGTGATGAATATTGTGTGCCCTCGGTGGAGAGAATATGTTATAGTGAGTATTCTTAAATGGTTTATAAAGAGTAGCAACTTCGAACTTAGTTGTTATTATTTGTAGAATTTGGTTTATCCTATGATGTGGCTGGGGCCACAGTCATGGCTTTGACCACTTCTTCACCGGAGTTTTTTATAAATCTGTATGCCACCTTTTTGACTGAAGGCGATATGGGTCTGGGTACTATTGTGGGCTCTTCGGTTTTTAATATTTTAGCCATTACCGCCTGCTGTTGTTTGTATACAGGTGTGGTAAGTCCCCTCCCGACTTCGATTTTCATAATTTTTTCTTCGAAGTAAAAGTAGTTATATCTTTCTAGGATTTTTCTATAGATTGGTGGCCTATTAGTCGTGATCTTTTGTGGTATGGCGGCAGTGTTTCTCTTTTAACCATTATGCTTTGGGATGGTTTTGTTTATTGGTGGGAAGCCTCCATTCTGGTCATACTTTATATTTTTAATGTATCACATCTGTTATTGGATCGTAAATGCCAAGAAAAGATTAGAAGTTGGTGAACGTTAAAGTCCTTTCCTTGAATTAATATAACTATAATCTCTTATCCTTTTAGATAAAGAACGTCCTTGCAAATTAAAATGTTTTGTACCTTTAGGAGAGGTCAAAGATTTCGATAGCATGGAAGATCCTGATAACCACGAACAACCTTTCAACTTTTGCCGCTGGCCCCAAGAATCTATATGGAATAAATTTATTTGGTTACTCTCGTATCCTTTAGAATGTCTGTTCTTTCTAAGCATACCTAATGTTAGGAGAGCTTGCTCTCAAGGTAGCAGCTGTTTAAGTCTATTAATGTCTATATTATGGATTTCATTTCTAACCTATTTGTGTTCCTGGAGTATAACCGTAATAGGTGACTAAGGCCGAAACTATATTATTTAAAAACTTAATAACAAATTTGTTATTTCAAGGCTATCATTTATTTATACCAGATTCTGTAATGGGTCTAGTAATACTGGCTGCCGGTACCAGTATACCTGAGGCTATATCAAGTGTTATAGTTACCAAGAAAGGTAAATATCGGATGAAGCAAACAACCGTTGACTAAAGCTTTTATTAGGATTTCCATCATAATTTCGATTCCAATTCCTTTTCTAGGCTACGGTTCCATGGCCGTTTGCAATGCAGTCGGCTCGAATACCGTTGATATTCTTATGTGTCTGGGTGGCCCCTGGCTGGTGAAGTCTTTATATTTCCCCACTTCACCTACTCGACCAGCAGTCTCTATTATATCTGATGGTTTAGCTTATACCTCGGCTTGTCTGCTAATATCAGCGATATTATTGTATATCTCGTTTATGGCAACAAGTTTTCAACTGGGTCGTTCGGTGGGTGTTTTAAGTTTGATTATGTATATTACGTTCATTATGGTGGCAGTTGGCATAGAAATGTTATTTTTCGAATCAGATCTACCGCATTGTTTGCATATGGAGGGAAGATAAAGGAATTATTCGAATAAAACCGATTTCTTAGTTTTTTTTACTTAACAAGGAGTAAACTGGACTAAACTATATACCAGACTCTATAGTCTAGTCTATAGTCTAGTCTATAGTGTAGTATACAGTCTAGTCTATAGTCAAGTCTATAGTCTAGTCTATAGTCTAGTCTATAGTCTAGTCTATAGTCTAGTCTATAGTCTAGTCTAAGTCTAGTCTAGTCTAGTCTATAGTCTAGTCTAGTATAGTCTAGTCAATAGTCTAGTCTATAGTCTAGTCTATAGTCTAGTCTATAGTCTAGTCTATAGTCTAGTCTATAGTCTAGTCTATAGTCTAGTCTATAGTCTAGTCTATAGTATAGTCTATAGTATAGTCTATAGTCTAGTCTATAGTCTAGTCTATAGTCTAGTCTATAGTCTAGTCTATAGTCTAGTCTATAGTCTAGTCTATAGTCTAGTCTATAGTCTAGTCTATAGTCTAGTCTATAGTCTAGTCTATAGTCTAGTCTATAGTCTAGTCTATAGTCTAGTCTATAGTCTAGTCTATAGTCTAGTCTATAGTCTAGTCTATAGTCTAGTCTATAGTCTAGTCTATAGTCTAGTCTCTAGTCTAGTCTATAGTCTAGTCTATAGTCTACTCAATAGTCTAGTCTATAGTCTAGTCTATAGTCTAGTCTATAGTCTAGTCTCTAGTCTAGTCTATAGTCTAGTCTATAGTCTACTCAATAGTCTAGTCTATAGTCTAGTCTATAGTCTACTCATAGTCTAGTCTATAGTCTAGTCTATAGTCTAGTCTAAAGTCTAGTCTATAGTCTAGTCTATAGTCTAGTCTATAGTCTAGTCTATAGTCTAGTCTATAGTCTAGTCTATAGTCTAGTCTATAGTCTAGTCTATAGTCTAGTCTATAGTCTAGTCTATAGTCTAGTCTATAGTCTAGTCTATAGTCTAGTCTATAGTCTAGTCTATAGTCTAGTCTATAGTCTAGTCTATAGTCTAGTCTATAGTCTAGTCTATAGTCTAGTCTATAGTCTAGTCTATAGTCTAGTCTATAGTCTAGTCTATAGTCTAGTCTATAGTCTAGTCTATAGTCTAGTCTATAGTCTAGTCTATAGTCTAGTCTATAGTCTAGTCTATAGTCTAGTCTATAGTCTAGTCTATAGTCTAGTCTATAGTCTAGTCTATAGTCTAGTCTATAGTCTAGTCTATAGTCTAGTCTATAGTCTAGTCTATAGTCTAGTCTATAGTCTAGTCTATAGTCTAGTCTATAGTCTAGTCTATAGTCTAGTCTATAGTCTAGTCTATAGTCTAGTCTATAGTCTAGTCTAGTCTAGTCTATAGTCTAGTCTATAGTCTAGTCTATAGTCTAGTCTATAGTCTAGTCTATAGTCTAGTCTATAGTCTATCAAGTCTATAGTCTAGTCTATAGTCTAGTCTATAGTCTAGTCTATAGTCTAGTCTATAGTCTAGTCTATAGTCTAGTCTAGTCTATAGTCTAGTCTAGTCTAGTCTAGTCTATAGTCTAGTCTATAGTCTAGTCTATAGTCTAGTCTATAGTCTAGTCTATAGTCTAGTCTATAGTCTAGTCTATAGTCTAGTCTATAGTCTAGTCTATAGTCTAGTCTATAGTCTAATCTATAGTCTAGTCTATAGTCTAGTCTATAGTCTAGTCTATAGTCTGGTCTATAGTCTAGTCTATAGTCTAGTCTATAGTCTAGTCTATAGTCTAGTCTATAGTCTAGTCTATAGTCTACACCATTTCAAGTTTAATTTGAGAAAATCCAAAGTTATATTGTGAAACACCAAAATGAATTTTAGAAATCCAATTTAATATTGAGACATACCAAATTAAATTTAGGAATCAAAATTGATATGAAGAAAAAACAAATTGAAATTTGAATTTTCAACTTAATATTGAGAAAAAACCAATTGATATTGAGAAGTCGAAATTAATATTGAGATAATACGAATTGAAATTGACAAAATACAAAATAATATTAAGAAAACCTAATTTTGTATTGAAATTTATATTTTTTTTAAATCCATATCCTATTTAAACATTTTATAAGAAAAATATTTTCATACAAATTTTAAATTTCTTATTTTCATTTATTAATTTCTCAATTTCAATTTGTAATTTCTTAATATAATGTTGGGATTCTGAATTTCAATTTGTTTTTTCTCGATATGAATTTGCATTTCTTAATTTAATTTTATTATTTCTCAATATTAGTTTGGATTTTTCGATTTCAAATGGGGTTTTCTCAATATTAATTTATATTTCTGAACTTTAATTTGAATTTTCTAAATTTTAAATTGAAATTCTCAATATGAGTTTGTATTTTCTCAATTTAAACTTGAAATGGTGTAGTCTATAGTCTAGTCTATAGTCTAGTCTATAGTCTAGTCTATAGTCTAGTCTATAGTCTAGTCTATAGTCTAGTCTATAGTCTGGTCTATAGTCTAGTCTATAGTCTAGTCTATAGTCTAGTCTATAGTCTAGTCTATAGTCTAGTCTATAGTCTAGTCTATAGTCTAGTCTATAGTCTAGTCTATAGTCTAGTCTATAGTCTAATCTATAGTCTAGTCTATAGTCTAGTCTATAGTCTAGTCTATATTGCAGTCTATAGTCTAGTCTATATTGCAGTCTATAGTCTAGTCTATAGTCTAGTCTATAGTCTGGTCTATAGTCTAGTCTATAGTGTAGTCTATAGTCTGGTCTACAGTCTAGTCTACAGTCTAGTCTATAGTCTAGTCTATAGTTTAATCTATAGTCTTGTCTATAGTCATGTCTATAATCTAGTCTATAGACTAGTCTATAGTCTATTCTATAGTCTAGTCTATAGTCTAGTCTATAGTTTAGTCTATAGTCTTGTCTATAGTCTACTCTAAAATTGTTTGCTGGAACTGCTATTTTTTTAGACTCTTTAAACTTCATGCTTAATTGAATTGATTAAATTCTCCTCTATCAATAAAAATTTAATACGATACTACTAGAAAAAAGCACCTGTCTCAAAAATGATTTAAAATGGAACTGATATGACGTCAATTAAGAAATTCTATGACATAAGCAAAAAGTGTTTTTTACTTGCCTGTCGGGGAAAAGTACTTGAACCATTTAATTTTGAATATATCAAAAAAATTATTAAACTTAAAAACAATAATAATAATAAAATCACTAAATTATGGGTACATCTAGACAAAATAATAAGTTTATATATAGCTGATAAGGAGGACAGGAAAGAAATTATTATTTCTTTTTAAGGGGATTTTCTAAAAGTAGGAGGTAAAAGTGCTGTTAGTAGGAGATGGGGAGAAAGAAACCTTCAGTTCCCAAAGACACTCAATTGGTGTCTACTATATCTGAGTTTTTGAAAATCAGTCTGGGAGCTTGAACTGTTTAATCCTTAGCCAATAGTTAGACTTGGAAAGTGTTGAGCTAATCGGAAAGGCTTAATTGCTGTTTAAATATAGTCCAAATCTAGTCTAACAGACATCTTAGGTACCCCAACTTTACCTATTATTATTTATCTTGAAATATAGCTGGCGGTTAACAACTATCTTCCAAAATATCCCCCTGAGTCTTAGATTATTTAAAGAAAATTGCGCAGGCAAATAATTTGATTCTTTTTTTTTCTAATTATTTTCTAGTTCTATCTCAATATATTGATATGATAGCACAATCGATATTCTACATTATAAATCAATCAATTAAGAATTAAAAATGTATTTATATTTTTTTTATAGAAAATACAAAAATAAATTGATAAAGTACACAGTATTTTGATTAAAACATTTACCGCAAAAAAAGACAAATATTCGATTCTTGATACGATGATACCAATTGTTTTAAAGAGAAAAAGAATTAGAAATAGAAATATCGGAAGATATTAATAGTCGAAAGGAAATGTCTGTACTTTGGCTAGACATCTTGATATATACTACAAATGAAATAATTGCAACGTAAAAAGAATCAGCCTCTGACTCTATACTTTTCTATTCTATTAAAAGTACGGGACATTAAGGGAGGTGTCACGGATGGATATTTCCTACTAGGCAAGCAAGTACTTTGCCATAACTAAGGGGGTTTTAAACGACCACCACCCATAGAAGTGTTTGACAACTACTGTCAAATGTGATTTAAATAAAGTTCTAAGATAGTAGACAGTTTTAGTTTGATATGATAGTCAGCGAGCTCGTATTTATTTTAGTATTAAAATTTTTTTGAATTTTTAATTAACGAGTAATTGAGATATGGACAAATACAATTTATTTAAAAAAAAATTAAAGTTCTATTTTAAAATTGAAGTACATTTATCTCTAAATTTAAATCGAAAATTAGATTCAAAAAATTAAGTGTTGTAGATAAAGTTAAGGGGAAAAATGGGTCAGTAAAACATTTGGTTTCAGAAAAATTTACAAATTAACTAACTAACTAACTAAATAACTAACTAACTAACTAACTAACTAACTAACTAACTAACTAACTACTAACTAACTAACTAACTAACTAACTAACTAACTAACTAACTAACTAACTAACTAACTAACTAACTAACTAACTAACTAACTAACTAACTAACTAACTAACTAACTAACTAACTAACTAACTAACTAACTAACTAACTAACTAACTAACTAACTAACTAACTAACTAACTAACTAACTAACTAACTAACTAACTAACTAACTAACTACTAACTAACTAACTAACTAACTAACTAACTAACTAACTAACTAACTAACTAACTACTAACTAACTAACTAACTACTAACTAACTAACTAACTAACTAACTAACTAACTAACTAACTAACTAACTAACTAACTAACTAACTAACTAACTAACTACTAACTAACTAACTAACTAACTAACTAACTAACTAACTAACTAACTAACTAACTAACTAACTAACTACTACTAACTAACTAACTAACTAACTAACTAACTAACTAACTAACTAACTAACTAACTAACTAACTAACTAACTAACTAACTAACTAACTAACTAACTAACTAACTAACTAACTAACTAACTAACTAACTAACTAACTAACTAACTAACTAACTAACTAACTAACTAACTAACTAACTAACTAACTAACTAACTAACTAACTAACTAACTAACTAACTAACTAACTACTAACTAACTAACTAACTAACTAACTAACTAACTAACTAACTACTAACTAACTAACTAACTAACTAACTAACTAACTAACTAACTAACTAACTAACTAACTAACTAACTAACTAACTAACTAACTAACTAACTAACTAACTAACTAACTAACTAACTAACTAACTACTAACTAACTAACTAACTAACTAACTACTAACTAACTAACTAACTAACTAACTAACTAACTAACTAACTAACTAACTAACTAACTAACTAACTAACTAACTAACTAACTAACTAACTAACTAACTAACTAACTACTAACTAACTAACTAACTAACTAACTAACTAACTAACTAACTAACTAACTAACTAACTAACTAACTAACTAACTAACTAACTAACTAACTAACTAACTAACTAACTACTAACTAACTAACTAACTAACTAACTAACTAACTAACTAACTAACTAACTAACTAACTAACTAACTAACTAACTAACTAACTAACTAACTAACTAACTAACTAACTAACTAACTAACTAACTAACTACTACTAACTAACTAACTAACTAACTAACTAACTAACTAACTAACTAACTAACTAACTAACTAACTAACTAACTAACTAACTAACTACTAACTAACTAACTAACTAACTAACTAACTACTAACTAACTAACTAACTAACTAACTAACTACTAACTAACTAACTAACTAACTAACTAACTAACTAACTACAACTAACTAACTAACTAACTAACTAACTAACTACTAACTAACTAACTAACTACTAACTAACTAACTAACTAACTACTAACTAACTAACTAACTAACTAACTAACTAACTAACTAACTACTAACTAACTAACTAACTAACGAACTACTAACTAACTAACTAACTAACTAACTAACTACTAACTAACTAACTAACTAACTAACTAACTAACTAACTAACTAACTACTAACTAACTAACTAACTAACTAACTAACTAACTAACTAACTAACTAACTAACTAACTAACTAACTAACTAACTAACTATAACTAACTAACTAACTAACTACTAACTAACTAACTAACTAACTAACTAACTAACTAACTACTAACTAACTAACTAACTAACTAACTAACTAACTAACTACTAAACTAACTAACTAACTACTAACTACTAACTAACTAACTAACTAACTAACTAACTACTAACTAACTAACTAACTAAACTAACTACTAACTAACTAACACTAACTAACTAACTAAACTAACTACTACTAACTAACTAACTAACTAACTAACTAACTAACTGACTAACTAACTAACTAACTCACTAACTAGCTAACTGACTACTTAACTAAGTAACTAACTAGAACCGTTTAAAGTCTAGTCTATACCCCAGTCCAGTTTATAGCCTAGTTTATTCTATAGTCTAGTCTAGTCTATAGTCTGTTTATACTCTAGTCTATAGTCTGGTCTATAGGCTAGTCCATAGTCTAGTCTACAGGCTATAGTCTATAGTCAAGTCTATAGTCTAGTCTATAGTCTAGTCTATAGTCTAGTCTATAGTCTAGTCTATAGTCTAGCCTATAGTCTAGTCTATAGTCTAGTCTATAGTCTTGTCTATAATCTAGTCTATAGTCTAGTCTATAGTCTAGTCTATAGTCTAGTCTATAGTCTAGTCTATAGTGTAGTCTATAGTCTTGTCTATAGTCTAGTCTATAGTCTAGTCTATAGTCTAGTCTATAGTCTAGTCTATAGTCTAGTCTATGGTCTAGTCTATCGTCTAGTCTATAGTCTAATCTATAGTCTAGTCTATAGTCTAGTCTATAGCCTAGTCTATAGTCTAGTCTATAGTCTAGTCTATAGTCTAGTCTATAGTCTAGTCTATCGTCTAGTCTATAGTCTAGTCTATAGTCTAGTCTATAGTCTAGTCTATAATCTAGTCTATAGTCTAGTCTATAATCTAGTCTATAGTCTAGTCTATAGTCTAGTCTATAGTCTAGTCTATAGTCTAGTCTATAATCTAGTCTATAGTCTAGTCTATAGTCTAGTCTATAGTCTAGTCTATAGTCTAGTCTATAGTCTAGTCTATAGTCTAGTCTATAGTCTAGTCTATAGTCTAGTCTATAGTCTAGTCTATAGTCTAGTCTATAGTCTAGTCTATAGTCTAGTCTATAGTCTAGTCTATAATCTAGTCTATAATCTAGTCTATAGTCTAGTCTATAGTCTAGTCTATAGTCTAGTCTATAGTCTAGTCTATAGTCTAGTATATAGTCTAGACTAATCTATAGTTAGTCTATAGTCTATAGTCTAGTCTATAGTTTAGTCTATAGTCTATTCTACAGTCTAGTCTATAGTCTAGTCTATAGTCTAGTCTATAGTCTAGTCTATAGTCTAGCCTATAGTCTAGTCTATAGTCTAGTCTATAGTCTAGTCTATAATCTAGTCTATAGTCTAGTCTATACTCTAGTCTATAGTCTAGTCTATAGTCTAGTCTATAGTCTAGTCTATAGTCTAGTCTATAGTGTAGTCTATAGTCTTGTCTATAGTCTAGTCTATAGTCTAGTCTATAGTCTAGTCTATAGTCTAGTCTATAGTCTAGTCTATGGTCTAGTCTATCGTCTAGTCTATAGTCTAATCTATAGTCTAGTCTATAGTCTAGTCTATAGCCTAGTCTATAGTCTAGTCTATAGTCTAGTCTATAGTCTAGTCTATAGTCTAGTCTATCGTCTAGTCTATAGTCTAGTCTATAGTCTAGTCTATAGTCTAGTCTATAATCTAGTCTATAGTCTAGTCTATAATCTAGTCTATAGTCTAGTCTATAGTCTAGTCTATAGTCTAGTCTATAGTCTAGTCTATAATCTAGTCTATAGTCTAGTCTATAGTCTAGTCTATAGTCTAGTCTATAGTCTAGTCTATAGTCTAGTCTATAGTCTAGTCTATAGTCTAGTCTATAGTCTAGTCTATAGTCTAGTCTATAATCTAGTCTATAATCTAGTCTATAGTCTAGTCTATAGTCTAGTCTATAGTCTAGTCTATAGTCTAGTCTATAGTCTAGTCTATAGTCTAGTATATAGTCTAGACTAATCTATAGTTAGTCTATAGTCTATTATATAGTCTAGTCTAGTCTATAGTCTAGTCTATAGTGTAGTCTATAGTCTAGCCTATAGTCTAGTCTAATCTATACCCTAGTCTGTAGTCTAGTCTATAGCATAGTCTAGTCTCTTATCTAGTCTATTGTTTAGTCTACAGTCTAGTGTATTGTCTAGTCTATGGTCTACTCTACAGTCTAGTTTTTAGTCCAGTTTAGTTGTAGTCTATAGTCTAGTCTATAGTGTAGTCTATAGTGTAGTCTATAGTGTAGTCTATAGTCTAGTATATAGTCTAGACTAATCTATAGTTAGTCTATAGTCTATTATATAGTCTAGTCTAGTCTATAGTGTAGTCTACAGTCTAGCCTATAGTCTAGTCTAATCTATACCCTAGTCTGCAGTCTAGTCTATAGTATATTTTAGTCTCTTATCTAGTCTATTGTTTAGTCTACAGTCTAGTGTATTGTCAAGTCTATGGTCTACTCTACAGTCTAGTTTTTAGTCCAGTCTAGTTGTAGCCTAGTCTTTAGTCTAGTCTACAGTCTAATTTATAGTCTAGTATATAGTACAGTCTAGACTAGAGTTTGTCTAATTAACTAACTATTTAACTAACTAACTAAATAACTGATCAAAAATGTCTTTTCAAACTTCAGGATAGGATATCTCAAATCAGATTCAATCCATGCAATGGAAAGAATCTAAGAATTTAGCGCGGCTCAATCCTTTGGAAAAGTTTAAGGCCGACAAAATTTTAGGCCGGTGTTATAGGAATTCTTCTTTTAATAAGAGACTCGTGTCTCTTATCAAACATATTATTAAGGAAATTTATCAATTATCATTACAATTTTAGCATAAAATTCAAGTGTCACGTGTTTAACAAATTTCCAGCTCACGACTAACGAAGGTTGATGCCCTAGTTGGGTATTTATTTAGTAACTGCCAAAATCAAGTAATTTCCATTGTATTATATTTAGAATTACAAACATAAGCAGACCTAAATAACTAAAAGTTATACAAACTCTAACCGAGCATCAATTTATTATAAATATTTATTTAATTTTATAAATAAACAATAAAATATTTTGACAAAATACTTAAAAGAATAGTTAATATATCAAAAGCGCAGTTTAAATACGTGAAATGAAACTCATAGAACTTAAAGCAGCAGCATGTGAGTGATGGTCTCTAAACAGTAAAGAGCAAAACAGATGCTACAGGAACAATTCCCGGAAAACGCATCATTAGTATAAAATTAATAAAACTCAAAATTTTCCACTGTTTGTGGTAATATTTTTCTCCACAACTGTGGCAGGTAAATATGGTGTCAAAAAGCGACTACCTACTAAAGAGGGTTAATCCCCTTTTTACCGGAAAATTTCTTATAAGCAGCCGATGCATTTATGATGTGTATCATAAAAATGCATGGAAAATTTTCTTGTTTGTAAATCATTGTCTTATCAATTACTATTTGCTCAAATTATGTTTTCAAAACACGAGATTTACATTTTTTTTTTGTAAAACTCACACATAAAGGTTGCCAATCGAGACGAAAATCGATTATTCTGTAGTCAACGGTCAAACATACAACACTGTTTGGTAAACACATACGGTAACATTTTGTGTTTTAGAAAAATTAAATAAATATTGTGTTAATTACTTTATTTATAAATTAAATATAATTAAATTAAACATGTTGAAAACACAAAATTTTGTTAAACAAAAATGGAAGAAATCGAAATTAATACTTTTAACCCGTTTATCCTTAATATCGTTGGTGTTGTGTTTATTCTATATACGATTTTTATTTATGGCAACTCCGGCTATAGATTTGCCAGCTGATAGTGAGCATGGTAAGTTTTTCTTTATTGTTCAAAAGAAAAGTTATTTCTAAAGTTTACTTATTCTTCTCAAAAGCTTTAAATTCCTTGAAAATTGGTCGTAAAATATTATCGCTGCATAATCATGAAGACAAATATCAGCAGGGAAATTGCTCTAAGCCTGCCATATTGGAATTTCCCTCGGATGGCTTTTCACCGGAACAGCGTAGACACGGTTGGATTATTTTGCATATAGTGTTGATGTTTTACGGCTTTTGGTTTTTGGCCGCCATTTGTGATGACTACTTAATACCCAGCATAGAACAGATTTGTTCAAGTAAGTACTGAAAGAAATATAGACTAGAATAAACTATATAATAGAGCCTAGACTAGGCTATAGACAAGGCTATAGACTAGACTATAGACTAGACTATATATTAGACTATAGGCAAGACTATAGACTAGACTATAGACTAGACTATAGACTAAACTATAGACTAGACTATAGACTATAGACTAGACTATAGACTAGACTATAGACTAGACTATAGACTATACTATAGACTAGACTGTACACTAGACTATACACTAGACTATAGACTAGACTATAGACTAGACTATAGACTAGACTATAGACTAGACTATAGACTAGACTATAGACTAGACTATAGACTAGACTATAGACTAGACTATAGACTAGACTATAGACTAGACTATAGACTAGACTATAGACTAAACTATAGACTAGAATATAGACTAGACTAGACTATAGACTAGACTATAGACTAGACTATAGACTAGACTATAGACTAGACTATAGACTAGACTACAGACTAGACTATAAACTAGACTATAGACTAGACTATAGACTAGACTATAGACTAGACTATAGACTAGACTATAGACTAGACTATAGACTAGACTATAGACTAGACTATAGACTATACTATAGACTAGACTACGGACTAGACTACGGACTAGACTATAGACTATACTATAGACTAGACTATAGAATAGACTATAGACTAAACTATAGACTAAACTATAGACTAGACTATAGACTAGACAATAGACTAGACTATAGACTAGACTATAGACTACTAACTATAGACTAAGACTATAGACTAGACTATAGACTAGACTATAGACTAGACTATAGACTAGACTATAGACTAGACTATAGACTATACTATAGACTAGACTACGGACTAGACTACGGACTAGACTATAGACTATACTATAGACTAGACTATAGACTAGACTATAGACTAGACTATAGACTAGACTATAGACTAGACTATAGACTAGACTAGACTATAGACTAGACTATAGACTAGACTACAGACTAGACTATAGACTAGACTACAGACTAGACTATAAACTAGACTATAGACTAGACTATAGACTAGAATATAGACTAGACTATAGACTATAGACTATACTATAGACTAGACTACGGACTACACTACGGACTAGACTATAGACTATACTATAGACTAGACTATAGACTAGACTATAGACTAGACTATAGACTAGACTATAGACTAGACTATAGACTAGACTACAGAGTAGACTATAGACTAGACTATAGACTAGCCTATAGACTAGACTATAGAAAAGACTATAGACTAAACTATAGACTAAACTATAGACTAGACTATATACTAGACTATAGACTAGACTATAGAATAGACTATAGAATAGACTATAGACTAGACTATAGACTAGACTATAGACTAGACTATAGACTAGACTATAGACTAGACTATAGACTAGACTATATACTAGACTATAGACTAGACTATAGACTAGACTATAGACTAGACTATAGACTAGACTATAGACTAGACTACAGAGTAGACTATAGACTAGACTATAGACTAGACTACAGACTAGACTATAAACTAGACTATAGACTAGACTATAGACTAGACTATAGACTAGACTATAGACTAGACTATAGACTAGACTATAGACTAGACTATAGACTAGACTATAGACTAGACTATAGACTATACTATAGACTAGACTATAGACTATACTATAGACTAGACTACGGACTAGACTATAGACTAGACTACGGACTAGACTATAGACTATACTATAGACTAGACTATAGAATAGACTATAGACTAGACTATAGACTAGACTAGACTATAGACTAGACTAGACTATAGACTAGACTATATACTAGACTATAGACTAGACTATAGACTAGACTACAGAGTAGACTATAGACTAGACTATAGACTAGACTATAGACTAGACTATAGACTAGACTATAGACTAGACTATAGACTAGACTATAGACTAGACTATAGACTAGACTATAGACTAGACTATAGACTAGACTATAGACTAGACTATAGACTAGACTATAGACTATAGACTAGACTATAGACTAGACTATAGACTAGACTATAGACTAGACTAAAGACTAGACTATAGACTAGACTATAGACTAGACTATAGACTAGACTAAAGACTAGACTATAGACTAGACTATAGACTAGACTAGACTACAGACTAGACTACATACTAGGCTACAGACTAGACTATAGATTAGACTATAGACTAGGCTATTTACTAGACTATAGACAAGACTGGATCCTTTTTCCTGAGTAATTTAAATTTATAATTATTTTTACAGATTTCCACATTGATCGTGATGTTATTGGTGCCACTGTTATGGCTGCTGCTGTCTCCAGTCCTGAACTTTTTATGAACTGTATTGGCACTTTCATAACTAAGGGCGACATTGGCGTGGGCACGATAGTAGGATCAGCGGTATTTAATGTTTTGGCAGTGCCCGCCTGTTGTGGTCTATTTGTGGCCAGTTATTTAAAATTGGATTGGTGGCCCATAACTAGAGATTGTTTAATCTATTTGGTTTCTGTTATAGCACTACTGGTTATATTAAGAGATGGTCGAGTCTGGTGGTATGAGGCCTTGGGTCTGATTATAGCCTATTTTGTTTATATGTTAAGTAAGTTGGAGAACGATTTTTTTTTGTAGAAAGGCTTGTAGTTTTGACTTTGTATTTGTTTTTAATTTTAGTTATGTATCATAATCAAAAGATGTCGCGTCAGGCCAAAGACCTATTAAGACGTTGTGGTTACTATAGGCCGCAATATACCGAGGTTACGGAATTTACTGCTTTATTAAGTCATCGACATGAATCGAAATTTAGCTTGGCCACCGAAGCTTATCAGCATATGGAACAGGGTGTATATTCTTCACATATGATGCTATATTTAGAGCATCAGGAAAGAGAGGGTAAGTTTGGGAAATCTCTTAATTTATAGAAAAAAAAATAATTTCTAATAATTTGTCCTTTTTCTTGCTAACAGAATCCATTGCCTCTCCCTGGTCTTGTCAGGAACAAACTTTTGTTGAATTTTTCTTTCGCTGGCCCATAACCTTCCTTTTATGGTTGACCGTGCCCAATAGTCGTAAACATCATTCTTTTAAATATCTGACATTGATATTATCCATTATCTGGATAGCTGTCATATCGTATTTGGTAGCTTTTGTCATAACAATTATAGGTAAGTGAGTCAACAATGTTATCGAATTCTCTCAATATAAAATTACAACAATTTTCCTCGAATTCCCACGATTTTCTTTCAGAAATCTTATCGTGCTTTAATGCTTTATAACTTTTTATAAAATAATAATAAATTTCTACTGAAATTTATAAAGAAATCTATAGATTAGCAAATATTTATTTTCCTTTTCATTACAGGTGACACTCTGCATATACCCGATGCCGTTATGGGTCTTACTATACTAGCTGCTGGCATGAGTATACCCGAAGCTGTTTCCAGTATTATAGTTACCAAACAGGGTCAAGGTTCTATGGGCATTAGCAATTCTTTGGGTTCTAATACCTTTGATATATTATTAAGTTTAGGTTTGCCTTGGTTTATAAAATCCTTTTTCCTACCCGATATAGCCGATCAAAAGTTATTGCTATTAAATTCCGCTAATCTAATGTATGCGGGAATTTTACTCTTAACCTCTCTTTTATGTCTCTACTTAGTGTTTGTTTGGAATAAATTCACCTTGAATTGGTGTGTGGGTGTTTCTTGTATGATCATGTATATAGGGTTTATGGCCCTCTATATACTCGTCGAGTTAAATGTTTTCTTTCCCGTTAATCTGCCCATGTGTAGGCATTAAAAGTTTGTAAAATTCTGTGATTGCAGGAAGCTAAAGTTTAAGTTATAGAATTTAGATTAAGTGGGTTCAGAAATTTCCCTAATTTTAATTTTAATTATAGACGAAATATGTATTTATGTATATCGAATATTAGTTTTAAGTTTTAACCCATAAACGATCAGTATTAATAAAGAGATTGTATGTAAAGCATCTGTATTGAGAAAAGTATGTGTTTGATTTTAATTATCGGTTCACAAGGAACCAATCTAAATATTCTAAATATTCAATATCAACAGATAGCACTTGAGCTATTAATATCCACGACATTCTCGCGAAAATTGTATATTTGCTCAGCAACGATCCGACTCACTCTCGGTTGAAGATTTTCAACACACAGCGACAGCTACATATATAAACCGATCATTTTATATTGATGGGCTTTTAAACGACATTCCGGTTGATGTTTATAATGTGTTAGAAGTAAAACCAATTCAAGTTCTTTTACTAGGTCCCATGAATGGTTCTCAATTAACTAAAATTGGAAAAAATCTTACAGTTAACTGCAAAATGAATAAGATGATTTTCCCCATGACTCAATGGTCAAAACGAAAAACTAATTATATACATACATGTATGTATGTATCTGCCGTTAACGCCCTTACACTAGCTATTGTCTAATTATAGTAAATAGGCCCACGATTTCTCACTTTCCTATTACTCACTAACCAAAAATAAAAAGCAAATCAATTAATTTTCTCTGTCAACCGCCGTTAATAAATGATAAATTTTGAATAATTAAGTATTTTAATATCAATTGTTAAAAACATCCATGAATCATAATGTATTGACACTTTATTAAGAAAGTCGTTTTGTTTAAATAGGCGTTTTATGATAAAAATCTTAGAAATCTATATGTCCAGCATTAAGTCTATACAAAAAACCTAAGTATAGCCCCTACATTACGAGTATGTTTATATATTCTTAACAATTTCCAAAGAATACTGTTAACAATAAAAAAATAACCGAAAGATAATAAAATTAACTAAAATAAAAACAATAATTACAATAAATACAATTTAGTTGATAATAAATAAAATCAATTATCAATATGTTAAAAAATTTATTTTTATTATTAAATATAAGATTGAATAAGAAATGAACCAGAACAGAACTGGAATAGAACTAGAACATAACTAGAACAGAACTAGAAGAGAACTAGAAAAGAACTAGAACAGAACTAGAACAGAACTAGAACACAACTTGAACACAACTAGAACAGAACTAGAACAGAACTAGAACACAACTAGAACAGAACTAGAACACAACTAGAACAGAAATAGAACATAAATAGAACAGAACTAGAACAGAACTAGAACAGAACTAGAACAGAACTAGAACAGAACTAGAACAGAACTAGAACAGGACTAGAACACAACTAAAACAGAACTAGAACAGAACTAGAACAGAACTAGAACAGAACTAGAACAGAACTAGAACTAGAACAGAACTAGAACAGAACTAGAACAGAACTAGAACAGAACTAGAACAGAACTAGAACAGAACTAGAACAGAACTAGAACAGAACTAGAACAGAACTAGAACAGAACTAGAACAGAACTAGAACAGAACTAGAACAGAACTAGAACAGAACTAGAACAGGACTAGAACACAACTACAACAGAACTACAACAGAACTAGAACACAACTAGAACAGAAATAGAACAGAACTAGAACAGAACTAGAACAGAACTAGAACAGAACTAGAACAGAACTAGAACAGAACTAGAACAGAACTAGAACAGAACTAGAACAGAACAAAAATAGAACTAGAACAAAACTAGAACAGAACTAGAACAGAACTAGAACAGAACTAGAACAGCACTAGAACAGAACTAGAACAGAACTAGAACAGAACTAGAACAGAACTAGAACAGAACTAGAACAGAACTAGAACAGGACTAGAACACAACTAGAACACAACTAGAACAGAACTAGAACACAACTAGAACAGAACTAGAACACAACTATAACACAACTAGACCACAACTAGAACAGAACTAGAACAGAACTAGAACAGAACTAGAACAGAACTAGAACAGAACTAGAACAGAACTAGTACAGAACTAGAACAGAACTAGAACAGAACAAGAACAGAACTAGAACAGAACTAGAACAGAACTAGAACAGAACTAGAACAGAACTAGAACAGAACTAGAACAGAACTAGAACAGAACTAGAACAGAACTAGAACAGAACTAGAACAGAACTAGAATAGAACAGAACTAGAACAGAACTAGAACATAACTAGAACATAATTAGAACAGAACTAGAACAGAACTAGAACAGAACTAGAAAAGAACTAGAACAGAACTAGAACAGAACTAGAACAGAACTAGAACAGAACTAGAACAGAACTAGAACAGAACTAGAACAGAACTAGAACAGAACTAAAACAGAACTAGAACAGAACTAGAACAGAACTAGAACAGAACTAGAACAGAACTAGAACAGAACTAGAACAGAACTAGAACAGAACTAGAACAGAACTAGAACAGAACTAGAACAGAACTAGAACAGAACTAGAACAGAACTAGAACAGAACTAGAACAGAACTAGAACAGAACTAGAACAGAACTAGAACAGAACTAGAACAGAACTAGAACAGAACTAGAACAGAACTAGAACAGAACTAGAACAGAACTAGAACAGAACTAGAACAGAACTAGAACAGAACTAGAACAGAACTAGAACAGAACTAGAGCAGAGCTAGAACTTCGAGCGATACCTTTGCTGTTCAATAGCGAAGAGAAACGATTGATATATTTACTATTTTATAGCAAAAAGTATCGATCGATATGAATGCTATTCTGTATATAAAAGTGTCGATAGATACCCTTGTTACTCTATAGCAAGGAATAGAACAGACTCGATTTATTTGCTCTTTTATAGCAAAATGTATTACTGATCGTTACCCTGCTGTTTTAAAGCAAAAAGTATCTATCGAAATCTTAAATATTCTATACCAAAAAATATCGATCGTTATCCTTGCTATTCTAAAGCAAAAAGGTATCGATCATTATCTTCGCTTTTTTATAGCAAAGAGTAACGATCGATATTTGATACTCTATAACATACATAACGCTCTTTTTAATTAAATCTTCTTAATTAAATTGAAGTATTTTTGTCTACCATTATTTTTACAACTTAAATTGTCTAGAAGCTTCCATTTTGTACACATACACGTGTTTTACAATAAATTAATTAAACTTATTTCCCAAAACACTTCAGATTTCTAAACATGTTAGGTAACCTAATGAAGATAACAATGAAATTCTCTTTTAGTACTAAAATCCAATTGTTTAAATTTTATAAATAAATTAAATAGAATTTAATCCTTTTCTTCTTTCAATTATCTTTATAAAAATTCATATTCTTCAAATGTTATCAATTAAATATTTGATTAAATTAATGACATTTTGACAAATATTTCAGATAGAAATATGAGTTATTGTTTTTTTGTAACTATATTTAGACACGTTTTTAAAATCGAGCGATTTCTCTTTTTTTTTTTTTTTTTTTGCAAATCATTGGGTAAATATCAAGATCTTAGCTTTCATTAAGAAATATTCAAAATCGCTTAGAAAAAATATTGATTATACGAAAACTGATTAGATTTTACTATTGTCTGTAATTTCGGTTCTTTGTTTACAAAAAACATGTTATCTTGTTTTTTAAATCTTCTCAAGTATTTCCTGTTTTTACATAAATAATCTTCAATTATTTCTCAATAACCTCGATCTGTATCTATATATTGAAGAGCCCACAACCACTAGCTAAATATTCTAAGCAAAAATTCTATTTTTATGTTTCATTTCTACTTAATTGTTTCGCAAAACTAATTAAAAGTATTTGTTATTTTTAGAAATTGTTTTTCCATAATCTTGGCATTTTATAAAAATGATATATTTATATATTAAAACCCCATATAATTTATTTTATGCGAACATCTTACGTACTCATTTTTTACTAATATGGGCTTAACGAATGTATACTGATCATTCATTCAAGTTATTTTTAAAATTCATAATTTGAATTATATCGTAGACAAATTACCCATTACTAATGACCGCATTACTCTATAAGATAAATAATAAACCCATATCTGGTTGGGTCGGTATATGAAGACACTAAATGTTTGCTATTATTTAGAAACTAGAACTGAACACGTACAGAAAGAACAGAACTAGAACAGAACAGAACAGAACTAGAATAGAACTAAAACAGAATTAGAACAGAACTAGAATAGAACTAAAACAGAACTAGAAGAGAACTAGAACAGAACTAGAACAGAACTAGAACAGAACTAGAACAGAACTAGAACAGAACTAGAACAGAACTAGAACAGGACTAGAACAGAACTAGAAGAGAACTAGAGCAGAACTAGAACAGAACTAGAACAGAACAAGAACAGAACTAGAACAGAACTAGAACAGAAGTACTACAGAACTACTACAGAACTACAACAGAACTACAACAGAACTACAACAGAACTAGAACAGAACTAGAACAGAACTAGAACAGAACTAGAACAAAACTAGAACAGAACTAGAACAGAAATAGAAGAGAACTAGATCATTAATAGAACTGAACTAGAACAGAACTAGAACAGAACTACAACAGAACTACAACAGAACTACTACAGAACTACAACAGAACTACAACAGAACTAGAACAGAACTAGAACAGAACTAGAACAGAACTAGAACAGAACTAGAACAGAACTAGAACAGAACTAGAACAGAACTAGAACAGAACTAGAACAGAACTAGAACAGAACTAGAACAGAACTAGTACAGAACTAGAACACAACTAGAACAGAACTAGAACAGAACTAGAACAGAACTAGAACAGAACTAGAACAGAACTAGAACAGAACTAGAACAGAACTAGAACAGAACTAGAACAGAACTAGAACAGAACTAGAACAGAACTAGAACAGAACTAGAACAGAACTATAACAGAACTAGAACAGAACTAGAACAGAACTAGAACAGAACTAGAACAGAACTAGAACAGAACTAGAACAGAACTAGAACAGAACTAGAACAGAACTAG